CACAGGAAGCCTCTCTGTGAGGACATGCGCGTTCAACTTGGCCGTGCCAGCCATATCCTGGAAACAGCAAGATATGTAACCGTAATCGCCTTTCGGACGATTGGCGTGGGTCTTAAAGCTGATCTCGATTCGAAAAAAATCGAACGAGTCCTTGGTCGTCTTTCTTTTCGTCGATCGAGCTCTTCGCTGCGTGCGCTGCATAATAATGGAGTCATGGCGCGATACAAGGACCCGGTACAACCCGACTTCCGGAAAGCCTGAAAGCGCGCCGCCCCTCATTTCCGCTTATTCGATTAAAACGATGGCGTGGCACGATCGAAGCTGAAGGCCCACGTTGTGCTTTTTCCGTTAGTTCGATCTGCCTCGCATTGCATTCGTCGGGGTGGAAGGTTTTTGTGTTACAGAGGGTTGTTCTGTTTCGGAGCCGGGCCTCGTCGGGGATACAGACAAATCTGATATCTCTGATATATCTCTGATATTCGACATATATATTTATATATATATATATCGTTGTTAATTTTTCAAGATTATTTTCTCGAAAATGATAGAGAGTTTGGAAATGTCTGTTTCCTATTGTGAAGCAACGACTACGGGATACCCAGATTTTTCGCAGAATCACTAATAACAGATTCATGCAAGTGTCATGCAAGGTGTTTTACTGCGTTGCGACACGAAAGTCGCGGGACAGAGGAAAATAAGGGGCGATACATGACGACGATAGGTCTGGACAATTTCAATTGAGCAAAGGTTTCTCGTCCATGGGGAGGGGCTGTCGTTTAAGTTTCCTCTGCCGTGACTTTCAAACCACACTGTTACTGAAAAGTGCTACAGTTCCATGCTCGAACTTTTCTTCCTTCTACGTGTGTGGAAACGCTTTTGTTAGATATGTAGTTGCAGAACTCACTAATACTACTCTGTCGTACCGTGCGCGTGTGCTGTTCCACGATCAATTCGTCATTATTGAATTAAAACACTTGAGTCAATTATTAATCGATCTTGATTTCTTTAACTGTTATGAAATTAAAATATATCAATTCTCTGTTGAAATTTTAAGATATCGAAATAAGAAGTAAATATAATAATTGCAATACTTATTAAAGATTGTTGAGACGAGATGAAAAATATTCGAATAGTTAAAATGAACAGATGGTGAATCGAAACATAAACGTATTGATCGAGAAAGTTACACGCGCTCGATTCCAACAACTGGAAAAACGTAGAACAACTCGAAAAATCTGCTGGTGTCGATCCTCGCCGGCTCCACTCGTTGCTTTTCTCACGATGTTGTTCTCAGATGGGCATGCGGCCAGATCGTGGTGATCTACTTATAAGCTCCATGGGCCATTCCCGTTTCGCTAATTTTTTATGCACGGCGCGCAAAACATCAATGTCTCGTAAAAGAAATGGCAAATGGATAAACACATAAAGGGGCAATCAGTGACGAAGAACCTTAATGCAAGAATTATTGTGACACGTGTTGATAAGAAACAGAGTATCGTCGAAAATGTTGATCATATATAGAAATTTGAATGAATGATTAAAGCTGTTTAAAAGAGAAACTCTTTAAAAAAGCATCATCTCATTTCTTTAAAAGAGAATCGAAATCTTGTACAAAAGGATCTCCAATTTGTACTTTTCTAAAATTTTGAAATTTTTTTCTTTTTTAAATTTTTGAAACGTGTCAAACCTCCCTTCCAAAGTTTAATATTCTCCAACATCGTCGACGTCTGTTCGCAAATACGGACGTTCATCGCGTCTGTTTCTTTCCCTCCGCGTCACAATTCGTTTCATTCTTCGCCACTTGAACAATTCTGTCTGGAAAAAGTCCATCATTCCCAGTGCAAGGTGTGCGCACAATGGGGAAGCGGTAAAACGTGTGAGATAAATATAGCTATTTGATATACACAATAAACTCCTATGATCTTGCAATGATCGAACAACGCTGCAAACACTGTACCTACTGTATCTTTTCTTTTTCTTCACACTCGCTCGAAATCGAAATCTGCGGATACATGGAAACAGATACATTGAACAGAAGGGCAAGCCAGCGAGAACTTTGAAATGAAAAACATTCCAAAAATATCACGACGAACTATAACTATTTTTATCGCACATATCAGGAGCAGCTCGATTCGATCGTCAAGATGTTTGTTGTGATCTAAATAATAATAGGAAACGAAACTTTTAACAATAAATGAATTGAGGGAGTGAAGAAGGGAAGAGTTTTCAATTCTAATCTAAGATGCATCAGATTCATTTAAAGGGATAAAAACAATCAACGAATAGTGAAGGTAAGTAAATAATTATACTTAAATGGACATGCAGCAAACCTTCGTCGAAAAATAATTCATAATCAATAAATCATCGCGAGAAAAATGCATCACGATTTAAAGAAACGAGTTAGAATTTTTTTCTTTTTCTTTTTTTTACGCGGCTCTATAATGCACGATTTTCTTCTTGGCAGTTAAAATTTCATCTCTATCTTTGTTTCATTCTACCGTGAATGAATTTAAAAGGAATCATTCGTGATAATTTACATCGTTACGTGTCGATAATTTCAATCTTTTGACGATACTAAAAAACACTATAATAGATTTCGTATACTCGTTCACCGAATACTTTTTCTACTCGTTAAAAAGGAGCCATGAACGAAAAAAAAAAAAAAAGAGGAGGCGTAAAATCGTGACAATGACAGAGAGAACAACGACGAATGATTTATCTACACGGTCAAGATTTTTCGCTACTGTTTACACCGAAGAAGGGATCGGGACGAGCGATGCACGGTGCAAATAATCTTCGAAAAGAAAAGGAAAAAGAAGAAAAAAAAAGAAGAGGATCCTCAAGTCATGTCGAATCGTTCAAATGTACAATTGAAATGGTACAATCTTGCACGATACGACAAGATCCTCTTCCTTTCTACGAAAAAAAAAAACACGAATGTTCGTTTGGACGACGAGGAATGTGAAAAGGGACATCTATCGCTCGTCCCGAACAGAGTTTTTTTTAGTCGCCGGCTAAAACTAAAATTCTACGGAGGATATGATCGGAATCACTGGCGGGTGAATCGAGTTAAATTAGTGTTATACGACGTGACCATTGCAACGTTCTACAAAGCAAGCTGGGGCCCCTAAGATGACCGAGCGTAGTACAAGGATGGTCGACAGGATCAGCAGGAGTGCGGGATTCGAACACGAGGTCGAGGAGACACGATTGCACATATCCTCCTCACAGAAGCACATGTGACCAGTGCCGGTACTTTCCATCATGCACACGTGATCCACCATGAATAAGTTTATCTGTAGCTGCGAAGTGCAGGTCCGCCTCACGCTCTCATACGCTGCGAACAGAGACGAGGAATTGTCAGTAATTATTCCAGTTAAAAATTTTTAAGCAAGTAACAACTGTGATATATATATATGAATAATGAAATTGAAAGTTAAGAAAAAGGATGATGAATTAATAAAGTAATGATTGAATTTTAAACTAAATTTCTAAATTAGTTGAGCAATTGAATAATAATAATAAGATGTATAAAATTAAAAAAAAAATAATGAAGAGAATACTATGTAATAATTATAAGAATTGCATTTTTAAATCAATTTTTTTTAAATTTTTGCATTCCCTCTATGCGTTTAATTCGAGATCTCAGCTCGTATAATATATATAATTGATATTATTCGTGTTTGTTCAAATGGAAAAATAATTATTTCTTATAAGAAATAATGGTATGAAAAATCACTTACGTGACTTTGCGTTGCGAACCATTTTTACGCAACATCCATTGCAAGTCATAAGAGGCGGTTGATCCCTCGGAAGTGCGGTGTAATTGAAAGGATCCTTGCATCTCAAATCCGTCCACGAGTCGCATTCGTAGCAATAAATAGAACGAGCTGTAAAACACAATTACAATGAAACGCTATGCTCTTTTAAACTAAGTTTTTAAATTTATGAATGTGGATAAAGATAGGGAAAATATTCGAGCATCAATTAACTATCCTATGATAAAATTAATTTTCTCAAAACTACTATGTTCTCTTAATCATAGAAAAAGAAGACAGAAAAAAATTGTCTCGAATATGAATAGCAGAAAATTAATTTATACGTAATTAAATTGTTAAAAAAAAAATGAATAAAAATAAAGAGGAAAAAATTAATGATGTGAACGAATCTTGAGAGATTAACAACAAGCTTGGGTGAAACAATATTGACAAATAACAAGAACACTGAAGTGAAGTTGATTGAGTTTGATCACTCACTCTGGCATTCCGCGCGACAGACGGTGGCAACCGCAAGTACAATTGCCGCTGAAACGAAACATTGGCCACTGCTTTAGACGATGACAACGATGGTATTTGGCTGCAAATGTCTACGAAATGATAATCATGAACAAGAAAAAAAAAAGAAGAGTGCACACTGCTAGAACTACCCGCTATTTTTCCTATTTTTGCTACTATCTTCGCTATTTGCAACGACTATTCATCGTTATGGTTGCATCTAAAAAAAAATTTTACGTAGTGACTACAGACACTTAAATATCTTGATATCTAAATATTTTATCGATCGGTAGAACGACAGTTAAAATAGAATCTCTATTGATATTCATAATTAATTAATCGTTTCATATAAAAGTGAGAAAAAAAAAAGAAAAATTTCTATTCGAAATTATAAAATCACTTTTGAAGTTTTGATTTTAATCGTGTGATGTTTTAATCTCGCTAAAATATCTAGATATCTCGATACTCGAAATTTTAACTGAAATAGTAATAAGAATACTAATAGTTGACTAGTTAATTATAATACGTAGTACATATTATCAGTCGATGCTGCTCTTCGAGTAAATCTGATTTTCTGTCAAATATAAGGACTATAAGATAGGCTTCGATGTAGAAAGAATGGTCATTAATTTTTGAAACATATAATACATTCGACCGTCGCTCGTATACGAAAGTGGAATAAGTCAATAACTTACGACTTACGTGTCGTACTTTCTTGATTCTCCATATTATAAATTATTAATGACACGAACAATATTTTTCTCATGCACATTTTATTACTAACAGAACAGTATTCTGATTTTAATTATGAGTAAGAATTTGTTTAATCAAATTGTATGTAATTAATAACGATGACCATTCATCGAAACTTATACCATTTTTTTTATCAATTTTAGAAACTAACTGGTACGTACCTCGTGCACAGGGGCAGCGATCGTACGCGTGAATACTAATATAATTAATTCTAAAATATCGTTTTCTTAAAAAAAGAAGAAAAAATAAATCTGTATATAAATATAATATACATATATATAAAATATAATATTATATATATATACATAATCTATGAGAACAACATGAAGTTATTTTAACATTGTTGAGGATAAAAGTAATTGGTAATCTCTTCAAAGAAAATAATTTTAAATTCAACAAATATCCTTAAATTTTATCTTATATAATATAATCCTTAAATTTTATCTTATGTAATAATCCTCAAATTTTTGAAAACTTTTTACATTAAATCTCATTTCAATTAATTTCTAACGATTTACATTTCACATTTTAAGGCTTCTCAAATATTTCGTAACATTTTAATTTAATTTAATTTGAGGGTAAAACTTTTATACGCAACAATGTATCTGTTCATCCTTATTTATGCTTTATTTTTTATCGCTATATTTTTTGTTTCCTTTTGTTTTTGTCGTTTGCACACTCACCCCGAGTAGTGCGCTTGATCGCCTCCAAAACAATCGATAAAGCACGTTCCATTCGTATCTAACTATTCAGGCATTGATATTGTTTTGAGAAGAAAATTCTAGCAGATCAGAATTTTCCGGATAAAGCGACAAATAATTTTCGTATATTCTCCTTTCTTTCGTTTTTCGTTCTCTCTTTTCTTTTTTTATTCCAATTCATTAATATATTAAAATATTTTTCTTTTTTATTAATTTACTTATATTGGAAAATTACGAATAAAAAAAAAATTGCAAAGATTTCTAAGTTGAACCGTAAGCTGATAAAGAGATAAAAATATTTCGCATGTATACATTAATTACCAAATATTCAAAATATTCGATAAAGAAATATATCAATGGAGTAAGCGATTACGATTAAATGCTGCGTTAATTAAACGAAGATTAAATTTACTAGCATAAATATAATAAATACAATAAATATACATAGCTCTATTACAATTTAATAGATATACAATTACAAGATTATATACTATTTGGATATCCATATTTTCCATAATTTCGAATATCAATCAAAAATATGAATATATTCAACGGATGAAACAGAAAAAAAAAAAAGATTTCTTTTTACGAAATCAATAAACTACAACAAAGTATTAATCTATCACAATAAATGTATAAATTTTCAAAAACACATTTAACAATCATTAATTACAAAACGGTGTGAAAAACTTGTGTAATGCAAAATCTTCACTTAAATTCGTGCGTGTAGTTTCTGTATAATTCGTGCTTATGTATATCCATTACATATGCCTGAGAGATTTTTTTCACGGCGAAACAATAAATAATGATTCAAAAAAAGAGATACGTGTGATGTTTCTTTTCAATTGGTAAACAGAAATCGGTGTATAGAAATAGGGAAGAAAAAAAAAAATCCTGAGGAAAACTCACCCCCTATCAAGTAATTCGGCAACATGTTTCCAATATGACTTAGTCTCCTTATTTCCTGTACAACCTCATGCCGTGTCACGATCTTACCCCTACGGTAGAATATTCGCTTTTGATACAATTCAAGGAGTTGTATTCGCCTGTCAGGCGATCGACTGAAAATAAAAAAAAAAAAAGAATAAAATAAGAAAAAACTTTTTATTATTCGTTTTATTTATCGGTTTGACATCGGTTGACTGCTTCTAATTACGTAGCATAATTAGAAAGGAGAAAGCGTAATAGAATCGCCAATTTTAGAAAATCGATATGTCGGATGTGTTTAAGATTTTCCCTGTAAATGTATGAAGGTTTTAAGTGATTTGAATTTATAATGAGAAATAGATGAGGAATTAAATTAAGGATAATATTTCATAAATTTGACATTTAGTGATTATAAAAATTTATTGATTACAAAAATTGCAAGTGAAGTTAAAATAAATTTTTCATTATTAAATAATAATCAATCCAGATACTCGATTTTATTTCTGGTTTTAGCTGAGGATATAATTTTGCAAATATCGTGAATTATCAATAATGATATAGGAAATTATATTAGATTGAAATTATATATTTACAAAAAAAATTTATATTGAATCAAAATCAAAAATATTGAAGTTCATCAAATTATCGAAAATTAAGTTTCAAAGCAAGACGATATAAATTTAATAATCTTTTATTGATGAAACAATGCACAGTATATCGCTGCAACGACTCTAAAAATTTATGATCGTTTTAAAAAATAATAATACGTCCTGATTTAATTCGAATTTTCTCTATAACTTTAGAAATAAATGACTAGGTAGGGAAAAGCATGAGAAATTGAATCAAATTTTCTAAAAAAGATCGTACATGCTATAAAATAGTAATATTATAGTAATTATTTATTATTTATACTTTTTTTTTTGTAAGGAAGAAATAATTTTTGATAAATTTAAATGATATTAATTTATCAAAATTTCATTATTTTAACAAATTTAACAAAAATTCAAAAAATTGGGGATGTAAATGCTTTTTGGCACATGCTGTTAATTACAAGTAGTATTCGGGTCAGTACATTCTGGCTTTCATGCAATCTTGAGGCAAATAACACTGCGGCACATAATCGAGCCAACAAAATATCACATATTCTCGTTTTACGAATGTATAAGCTTACCTATTTTTTATCTATTTTTGATATTATTTAAAATCTGTCAAATTTAAAAATTAATAAGAGAATAGCATACATAATACATAAGCATTTAACTTAACATAATAAAATAATTAATTCTATTATTTTAATATATATATATTATAATTAACTCTATTAATTATCTAATTATTAATTTCTCTACGAGATAAATAATATCATTGAATTATAGTTTGAATTTCATTATGAAATTTAGACGATCTGTAAAATATCTGATTGTAATTTGTACTTTGCATATAGTTTGTTGAATAATAGATTTTGCATATCTCTAAATAACTAGATAATAATATGATTTTCTAATAAATCTACAAATATCAACAGCTCCAGAATAAAAATAAATACTTTTGTGCATCATCTTTTCTTTAATATCGATTTGGCAAGCCAACTATGTTATTTGATCATGCGATAAAAGTTATATTAAGCTAATCTATTAAAAAATTATTTTCATCCTACGTTAGGATTTCCCGCCAATTATTTATTTCAAGAATCTCTTTATTCTCTATTTTCAAAGATCATTATAAATTTAACATATTCTATTATCTATGGATAACTCTTTCAATTCTCAATGCATAAAAATTTACAATAATAACGATAATCTTTCTACGATAAAATAGAAAAGAATGTGAAAAATACTAAGCTACTAAAGCTACTAAGAATAAATTTAATAAAAACTATCTCTGTTAAAAATTTTCATCCTCTAATTTAGCATGCATGCTTTTCTTCAACATATTCTATCATACAATCTCAAGAAATTCTTCATTTATATCATTATTAAAGCTAAATCTTTCCAACGAAAAGTAAAATGCGAATAATTCGTATGCGTGCAATCTAAGAAAGGTTTTTTTTATTTACGGCAAGATGATTTACCTTCGTTATAATACGTCGATCGAAGATTTTTTTGGTCCTTTGTAACCGTGTAAAAGATAAATTTTCGAAGGGGTTAAGAGAGAAGAGAAGAATTCTCAGAAATTCTGAGAATTGTGATTTCGAATTTGTGATATTGACGGACTGCTATGAGAACGGACGATCGTCCCAGCTTGGATCGTGTGTTTCGTCACAATGTCGCGGTTTCATCTTCCTGTCAGGCACATTCGAGCAACGCCTTGTGTCACCGCGATGGATTCGAGCAGGGCAAAAAATCCTGAAATAATTTGAAACGAAAAAAGATTCGACGTCAATGAAAAAATCGAGGCTTAAATCGTGCGTCGTGCCGCGTAACTGGCTTCGTTTTTCGTTTTCAGGAAACGTAGTAATTATTTAACAGGGAGGAAAATGACTTTGCAAGTCGGAAGTATTCAATTTGTTTTAATTGAACACGATATGAAGAAAATGCAATGTGAATGTCAAATTTAACGAAACGTTTAAAATAGGCGTTTGTTGGACAGATCTTTTGTAATTTATGTTTGATAGATCTTTTTCCAGGAATTGTTTCAATATTTTTAACAATTAATTTATCTCGATAAAGTTTAATATTTTAAAAGTTTAATATTTTTGTCTTATTCGTTCGTTAACATAATTTTTGACGTGAAATTTTTTTATAAAAAGTTAAATTTAACGATCAAATGTAATATAAAATGTATTTATATTATTTCTCGAGGAATATTGAAAAATAATTCTAATTCTTTTTTCAATTAAATGAAAAATATAAAAATATAAAAATATAATATTTATAATATTATATTAGTAATATATTTATATAATATTTTAATAAAAAAATCTTTTTTCAAAAACGTATCAATAAATCTAAATAAATTTACACTTCATACGATGGCATATAATTTTATATAAAACTTCGAATCTGAGAATATGTGATAAAACAATTAATCAATCAGAAGGCAGTACAAATATATATACAACGACTGGTTAAACGGCTTGCTATCAAGCAATACACGTTTGTGTAATAACAGATGAAATAGCCACTTGATGTATGAGATGCATAATGGAAAATTCTCGTGAGAAATGTATACATACATACGTCATAGCGCGCAGTAAATATTTCATGCAAAAAAAGATGTTGATGGAACGAATTAAACGTGTTTTATATATGTTAAATTCAATTTTACGAACTTATATTAGTCTTTAAAAATCAAATAATTTTACATGTGAATAAATATTATTTTATTTTTATAAGAATTAAGATATTAATAATGATCAAGATTTAGACACCTGTTGCTCAAGATAACGTGCCAATCCTATTAATTTTTCAATATTTTATAATATATTTTTTTATAATATATTTATTATATATATTATTTTTTATATTATTTTTATATATATTTTTATATATATATATTTTTTATATTTTTTATATATTATTTTTTATTATATTTATTTATTTTTTTATAATATATTTTATAAAAGAAATGCTGCATTTAAGTAAAAAATTAAATATTTTTTTTTTTTTAATAAATAAATTATAATTTATTTGAAATTTATTTTTTAATTAGTCAAAAAGAATTTAGAATTTTTGTTACGCGCAAATTTTGTAATAAAAATTAATAATTCAGAAAGATGTTTATATTGGCAGTAAAAAGATCACGATAATGTTTCCTGGTAATTCTACTAATACAATTTTGAATTTAACTTGTATTTTTATAGGCTTTTATTCTCTTTGAATGATTTTAATGTCTACAATATAGTGAAAATATCACTATATTAAAGTAAAATTATTATTTATAATAAAATAAACATTTTTTTTATATAAATATTTTCCTAGACTGATTCAATTAATCAACTGATTAAGTAATTAAATTATTTGTTCTATATTAATGAATGAAATTCTTGGTATCAATTATCGTAGTTCACAAATCTGACTTATGACACTAAAGAAAAAACTAAATATAAAAATTACGAGATAAGATATAAAATATAAATTCTTGGTAAGATACTAATAACAAATCATAACATAATATAAACACAAATAAAATTTTCCTATTTCACAATTTTATTCATTACTACGTTTATGCAATGTGAAAGTAACGGATTATTATTAATTTCAATAGACTTTAATGATCAAATAATATTTCTAATTATATTAAAATATTACATGAAAGATCTCCTCAACAATAATACAAAAATCAACACGTTATTCTCGAATAAAAATAAATTAAAAAAACCTGAATGATAAAATGCGAAATTGCAATATACCGAGATGCAACAATTTCTATAATCCTTCTCGAACAATGAAAAAAAAAAAATGATAAAAGCCAGAGCATAAAATAACGAACCAATTAACGAACAAAGAACAGAAATACTATTTAAAACAAGTAGATTAATTTAAGATTAGATAAAAATCAGAATATCATTATATCAACAATTAGCATGTTCACGATTTTAATATTATACATTCTTACACAAATTTAACGCTACATATTCCAAATATTATAAAAAAATTCCAATACACATATTAAAATTATTAGCTATCCTTGAAACATATCCACACAGCAGAATCAACCCCTTTAATGAACAATCACGAAAACGAATCGAGAAACGATTCATTGATAAAAATATGGAATAAACAATAAGATCGTTTTTAAATTTTCATCAATACGTACACAATTCGTGAGAAGAAGATCCGGGATACTCAATCGTTCAATGAAACCGGAAACTTGACGAAGATTAGAGGAACACTAATTTCCAAGATATGGTTCCTTTCGACCAGATCCACCCGTCACTATCGTCGATAAATATCCGTACTCTCGTTGATTTATGTGATCACTGCAACACCAGCATGGCGGAGGACGATTCCATGTAAAGAAGGACGATGCGGTGTAAAAACAAGTGCAGTGGTTGCGACTACGCTAGCGTGTTTAAGCGTCGCGAGGCGTCGCGGCGCAGTCTGTGAAGCGCCACCCGAAACGCGCAATCGGATAGAGGCGAAGTGCGGATCCAGGTCGATCAATATGACGGGTCAGCAGTCGTTGCCTCATGCTTATATTGCGGCAAGAGTATGTTGGACGTACTATGAGAAATACACGGAGACGGTGGAAAACAGGGAGAAAAGTTGGGAGGAGAAGGAGACATTTCACGTTTGCGCTGTGGAAAATAACATCGAGTGTTTTTCATTTTCATTAAAGAAACATGCACGTGCACGAAATATCAAAATTACATACTATATAAGATAGAATAAGATAGAATCATATAAGATATATATACATATAAGATAGAATTTTATATGTTTTTATAGCTTCGTATTTTTCTTTTAAATATATCTTTTAATTTTTAATTAAAGTTAGAAAATTTATACATATTTTAAAATATGTATAAATATGTATAAAATATCCTCATTGAATATAGTATTTAGCTGTAATCTATCAATCACGAATATTTATATTACTGATATAATTGCTAGTGTAATGTGTTGATTAATTATAAATTTATACAGTTAATCCATCTTTTGAGCATAAATTGTAAAGCAAGTATAGAGAAAGCAAAGAGTGGGAGAAGGACAAAGATAGGATAAAAATATTGAAATTAGCACCATCTTCAGAATGCCGCAAATAAATCACAATAAACAAAGATAGTTAAGAAAAAGATAGAGATAGTAAGAATTGATCTTGAATGACATCTTGTGAGTGACAATAACATCTTTTTAAAGTTTTTTTTAAAAATGAACTAAAGCAGTCAAGAGATGACGCTGATTATCAATTCTTAATTTATCTTTTTTCTAAAACTCAAAAGATGGCATTAGTTATAAATTCTTAATTTATCTTTTTTCTAAAACTCAAGAGATGGAGCTAGTTATAAATTCGTAATTTATCATACTTCTGAAATTCGAGAGATGGCGCTAGT